TGTCGGCAAAGATTCGCCTATACATCAGACATGAAAGACCATGTCGACCACATTCCAAACATCGAGAAGAGAGTTGAAAATGTGATGAAGAATAACTTTGACAGGCTTCAAGGTGTTTGGAAATGTGGTCAAATACTGTCTCGAGTGTTAAATAAATCTTCTCAATTAAATCTAAAACTAACAAGAAACAAGGAGGAATAACATTAAAATCGGATCATGTGCACTGAAGGGATCCCCAGTCGAGAGTCAATTGATATTCTCGATCAACAACTTGATCGGTACTTGATCAACATCCCGATTGATAGTTGGTGGAAACTCAATTGACACCTGATCAACAGCTGATCAATAGTCGGCTGAGTGTCGACCGACTCATATGCATGGAGTGAAAATTAGCTGACTGTCAACCGAGGTGTCGATGGAGAGTCAACCAAGGTGTCAATGGAGTGTCAACTGAGTATCAATCGATTATCGATCATGTTGATTAAGGGTCAATCGAGGGTATTGATCAACACTCAACCTCAGATGCCTGTAGTACCATGATCCAAGAAATCTATGCTACCTAATTAAGGTGGCCGAACACAGTTTCGTGCACGCTTTTGCTGATGCAATTCAGCGCGCGCACAAGGATTGCAAAAAACAAACGTGCCGTCAATAGAGTGATCATTTTATTTACTCAACACCCGCAGTATCTGCTATTTTTCTCTCTAATTGAACTCAGCTTATTGATGGCTTTAGTCTTGTATTACAAAGATATGTTAGAAAAGGTAACAATGCAAAGAACCCAGCAATTCTCAGCTTTTTCTTTCTTACCGAAAGAACCCAGTTNTCTCTATAATTGAACTCAGCTTATTGATGGCTTTAGTCTTGTATTACAAAGATATGTTAGAAAAGGTAACGATGCAAAGAACCCAGCAATTCTCACCTTTTTCTTTCTTACCGAAAGAACCCAGTTAAATGCAGCGTGTGCCTAGTAAGTCAAAAAATTGCGATTGAATGAAAATTGCACTCTTGGAAATACGCCTGTTTTTCAAGAACCACTCATTAGAATTTCACGAAATTTGGCACGAAAATACTTTAGGAAATAAGTAAATGAAGTATCGAAAATAATTGAACTTTGACAAAGGAAATTCTAGATATTCCAGTGAACCTTCAACAAGGGATAATTAAAGATCTCTCTGTTAAAGTTTTAGCAAAATGGTGTTAACTTGTGAGAATCGTTACAAGCTTGTTGCATGCAAATTATAAAGAAAATCTAATGACTAGATTTTCTGCAAATAAACAAAACCGATTTTAAAGGCCTGTTTATGTTTATTCATGTTGCCATGGCAACGGCACATACATCAGCTCAACCATCAAAAAACCAAAGTTTGTGTTGTTAACTAGTTTGCTGCCATTTTTGACGACCGAGGGATCAAGAGTTTTAGAGAAAAAGGTGAACGAAACACAGGTATCAAAAACTGTGTTCAGCCACCTTAAGATCAGATATCCAACCACCATAATGGTCATTTCTTTTGTTTAAACTTGATGAATTATTAATGAGTTTGAGAAGTTACGTTCAGATGAGAAGGCAGATTTCAGATAGAGAATGTCACTTTTGTAATGGGAAGGGGTGCTTATTAGAGTGGGTGCACTTATCAACAAGGAGCACTGACCAGAAAGTGGGCATGTATTGGAAGTAGGGTACTAAATCAAATCAGTACCATGGTAACTTGAACCGTTCCTACATAATACAACCTTCCAAAATCTCTTGACAGCAGCAACTGAAGAAATCCTGGGTCTTGGTTACAAGAATGGTTTGGATCTTTTAAATTTGATATACAGTATTAAAAGAAATAAAACCTTTTGCCTTTAAATTATTCTCCTGAGGCAGTGAGGAAATCTTTTCATGCTTTAATTGCTTGCAATCAATAGTTTAGTAAAAGTAAAATAAAAGCAGCTGACAATTGTATCATGCTAGGTGAAGAATTTGTTTGCTTAAAAAAACCTTGGGGGTTTCTATTTATTAGCTACTTAATCCTTTTAGCCTGTAAAGGATCAAATCTTTTTTAATAACTGAAAGGAACAACAAACTTGTTGGTCATGTACTGCTGAGTGCATACTGGTATTGGCAGTTTTCAAGACTTGAGAAGTGCAGGTACACCTGTAAGGCAATGAAGTCTAAGCTAGAAATTTTCCTGTCTTCTTTGTGATGCACTTGTAGGTGTTTACTTTTCAGTTTGCTTTAGTGTCTTAACCGATGGTGTATTTTTAAAAATATTTTCAACTTGGGAAAAGTTAGCTTTGAATTTCAATCCCATGACAATTTCAAAACAGAAGTAAAACAATCATTACCGTTACAATCTGATCAAAATCACAGTACATCATTTACATTCAGCGAATCACTGCATGATCAAGGGTGATCCTCTTGCAATGCATTACGCATTCTTGCTACGACTGCGCATCACCTTCATGCACAATTAGCACACCTTTTTGATTCAGAGCAATGGACTTCAACCTTAATGGCCGAACTCACTTGGGGAAAAATAATAATTTGTCTTCACTTGGTAGCTGTCACTAGCACCTTCCATGAAATCTTCAGTAAACGGACATTTTTGATTGATAAAGTAACCCATAATTTTATCATCATTAATTTTTTTTTCTTTTATCCACATTCTGCCCCACCCACAAATCAAATCTTTTAGCAGGAATAATTATTATAAGTAATGCCCTTGATCTATCATCACTTATAAGCAAAACTAATATTGTGATGTAATTTTATTTCATATTTTGGAATAGTTACATTTTGTGATGAAGGAAATTCAACTTTAAATTTGGACAAGAAGAAAGAACTGTTGCTCACTTAGGCTCTCTGGAGTACTGAAAAGAACCCTGTTGGCCATTAAAATCAAGCAAATTCTTGCACAAAATTCTTTCAGCCCAGGGTCCATACATTATAGATAACCTCTGTTTAGATGGAAAAATTGTTTGCATTCTTAACTGACTAGACAGATTGAATTTCCTGTTTCCTCTGAATTGGTTGCCTTTTTTCTGGGTGGCAATGTGGAAAAATCTGGAACTAACCGAACAATAAACCTTTTCATTTTAGTTAAATTTCAAAAGTTAATTTTCAATAAGCAAGGATTACTTGTAATACTTCTTGATTACATATTTTTGTGCTATCATTTTACAGCATAGCAGAAAATTCTCAGTGTGGTATGTTTAACACCTTGAGAAAGTCCTTGTCGATCTTTGCCTACTGCTGCTTTTTATCAAATTATTTTTATAGGTACATTTTGCTAAATAAATTCATTAATGTGCATGACTCAAACTTCTGCTCCCTTTTTTTAGAGTAAAGGATCTTATTACCCTTAAGCCAGGCAGGAAATCAGTATTTATTTTGAAGCGTGGCCCAAAATGGTAGGATTTTTCCCAAAAAATCAAATAATTTTACTAACCAGGCAACTCTCACATTAAAAATCCTTTGCCAAACAACAACTTTTTCTTTCTGTATGTGCAAACGATGAGCTTATAAAAAAATCTACTCTAACTCTTAAAATTATACGACCTTTACTTCATGTTTTTGTAATAATTAGCCAAATTTCTAAAATATTCAAAATTTGTAAATGCCCAACCGAGGTATGTATTCTTTCACATGTGTATTTTTCATCTGTAAAAGCACTTTTACCATATCTGAAGAGTTGAACTATTTTTGCAATTTGTCGAAACGACTTACAAAATTTTCATAGTCACGAAACGAGCAGGTTTTGTTGTTGTGAGCTTATATCCCTTTTCAAAAGAGATCTATGTCGGGATGTTTGATGTGATGAAAATGAAGTTGATATATTTGCTCAAAGCAGGCGAACGACGCATAAACTGAAACAATTTTCCCTGTTGTCCCATAGGAATGCAGTAACTACTATTTAAGAAGACTGAATAAAAATCATTACGTTCAACAAGGCAAGCTACATGTACACAATAAACAAAATCTCTCTCACCTAAGCACTCCCTTGATGGATCTGGTCTCAGGTCTGACCCGCCAACAGAAAAGACCTGTCGAAATGTCCTCAGGAGTGCCGTGGAGTAGTTTGCCTCTGCGAATACCAGGTAAGGCAACCATAATGCGCCTTGTCATGACTGCCCTTCGAGGCTTCCAGTTGGGTAGCTTCTACGTGTTGCTCTATAAACAGTTTCCTCGCCCTTTGGAAGAAAATCAAAATTTCATCTAACAGTCTTCAAGTCTATGGCCATTTGCCAAGAGACTCGAGAAACAGTCTTACGATACAAAATTGTCCCTTACCGGGGTGGGCATGGGGTATCACTTGTCGTTGACAGTTATTACCCAATGTGGAAATTACAGTTTTCTGAAATTTTCTGCAGCTTTTGCCGCAACATAACTCCGTTTTGAAATGCAAGACCTGAAACGATTTCAAAAGGAAAATTGTGAGATGTTTTCAAGACAACAAATTATGAACCCAGGAGGGGAGGTGAGGGGAAACTGATATTGCATATCTTGGAAGCTCTCCAAACGGCCCCAAGAAAGGGTGCTAATACATTTCAGGCTGGCTCGTGCATCTATTCACATGATATCCCCAAGCATCAAACAATTTTTTCGATGTATAAACAACAGCCCGTTGGCTGAATATATATTTTTAGGAGGATAGATGGCTTTGTTGTCAGATATACAGTAAGGAATGAGGTTTCGTTTCCGGTTTGAGAACAGCCTAGGGTGGAGGATGCATGATCTCTTCCATTTCAAACAAAAACTTTTTGAATGTTTACGTTGCGCCATTAACGTTTTAAAATAAATTTTACAGGAAGATGAAGAGGTCAGTTTTAGGTCGTGATAATTGTCTGGAGTGGCCATTGGGCTCGACCAGGAGGTTGGATTTCCGCGCGCGCTTCTCGGTTGTTACAAATCGAGCCCGAGTGCCCATTGGACACAGCAAAACCTTGTCAATTTCTAACCGGAAGTGAGAGTAGCATGGTCCATCAGCTATAACTCTGAGTGTGGACCATATACGCAGTAATCTGAAGGAAAATCGCAATCAAATTATTTGTCACTGATGTATTAGTTTGACAACAAAATAAGTCCAGAAACATGAAAAATCCTATGTTACGTGAGTGAGGTGCGCGCTGTCGACTTACCCCTCCCGTGTGCGAATTGTCGAGACAGGCGTCCGTTCATTTTTTGCCTCTCTCTTTGCGCCGCATAGAAGAATCTCGACCTGTAGTTCTGGTTATAAGACGACAGCATCGCACTTACACGTTATTGAAAGGTACGAGTCACATTCGTTTAGCAGTTTCTGAATCGTGATTTGCCGGCTGTTCTGTGTGTTACTGTGACCGTTGCAGAGACACCAACAACGTTATTTCTGAGTGCGAAATCCCCACCAATTTTTGGCATTCTTCAAGTGAGCGGGGAAGATACCAACACAATGCATCGATTGTAATAGAAAGACAGCGAACTGTCGGGTTTAAAGGGACTGGAGCTCTCCATCAACATGAATTCGAAGAAGGCAAAACGCAACAAAGAAGAATCGTTGTTGATTTCATACAACTCCGCAGAAGATCGTAGAGCTGTTAACCGAAGTAGTGAATCCGACGATAATGTCCCTCCGCTGGATTTGCCACCAACGCGCCTTAGACGTCCAAGAACAAGGTACTAAAGCTTGAATCTGCTTACTCTTATAGTAATCGATTCAAAAAATATCTTGCTCAGCTTGCTGTGTTGTTAATCATGTGTTAATCACAGATCGAACCAGTTCCGTGTAAGACAATCTAACATTTGGAACCTAACCTTTGTTTTTGAACGCCAGATTTCTCCTACGAATATTCAAATAAACTTACCTAAACTTAAATAGATATTTCTTTCGATAGGTATAAGTACACGAGACGGGTCAAATTAAGTGATAAAGGCGAACACGTTCTTTCTATAAGCTTATATTCTTTTCCAGTTCATGAGTATGTAAGCTTATTAATCTCATGTATGTCACAACTGGTTGCAAGTTACATTCAAGTCAATAATTTACAATGTAAACACACGCTCGGGTGAGTTTTGAGATCGAGAGATATTTATATGTATTACTGAAATATAATTTCGTTTTATCATGTTTGAGTTAATGTAACTTGATTTAGCTGACCGGTGTTCAGGAAAAATCCACTTTGAGATGTAAGGGGTTTTTCACTATAGCAACTAATACTGAACTTAAAAAGTTCCGGCTTTTGCTCAGATTTTGGTGCTATAATTAAATGAATTTATTCACGGTGCTTTTATTCCTCATATTATTCAATGCCGTGTTTCGTCTAATTTTTTGAAAACACTGGATTATAATAGTTATGTTGTATTTTACTTAGCAACATGAAGATTTTGTTTGGATAGGTTTACAGAAAATGTTGGAAGACAAAAAAAATAAGTCAATTGAAAAAAGTATAAAATTAAACAGTGTTACCCATAATCACAGCAAACAGCAAAATATCAGCATCATGTTGAGGAAAATTTCTCTGGTGTAGATATTCTCTAGACCCTGAATTATATAGACTGTGAAGATGTTGCCAATCTAAAATTCCACATCAATGTAACATTGCCAATACGTTGCTATTCTTGACGTTTAGTCAAATCCATTCTCACTACAGTGGAACCCCGTTATTCTGGTCACAAACAAGCCATGAAACTTTGGTCTTATTAATGGGGTGGCTGTGTTAATGGTCTAAATTGAGTGACGTCTTAACAGATACATTGCAATTGCACTTCTAACAAGTGTTCCTTAATAACCATCTGGAATGCAGATATAAGTTTCAAAAAACTGAGACTTCAATCAGTACATACAGTATTAACAATGGAAAGATGAATATAACTGGTTTGAGTGGCCACATAAACAGGGCATCTGGAATGCAGATATAACCAGGTTGGGATTTCAGAATGTGACGGTTGGCCATATTAATGGGGTGGCCACATTAGCAGGGTTTTCTTAAGGACGTTCGCGCAATAATTTTCCAGTTAATAGATATCTTTTTATTTTTTACTGCAGTCAGATAATGAGTTACCTGTGCCAGAAATGCAAAAAAAAAAAAAAGAGTTGGGGGTCACCAACCTCGTTTCAGATGTAAAGCATGAGGAAAACTGCCCTGATTTTGAAAAATTGGAGCACATAATTCAGCATGGTCTACAGGGGTTTATAGTTAAAAATATCAGAGGTGAGTCAACAGAGGCAAACGATCTTAGTCATATTTTGTAGAAGTGGGTCTGTTGCGTAAATAATTGCAAATGTTGCCAACATTTTCACAAAACCTAACCCTTCAAGAGGCATTTGAAACTGCCACACAGATAAAGAGCTAGACAGAACGGAATTTGATGGTACATTTTCAAAAAATTCAAACTTCTAATCAATAGATTTTCTTCATTTTTTTAACTAAACCTAGAAAATTGGTAGAGAAAATGGTCTATCAAAAGAAAAATAGGGGTCACCAAATGTCCAAGAT